TACACATTTTTTAGGTTTCTCTGACCATTAAAACAATTTTTTTATAACAGTGAATCCCTTTAAATAGTGAAATAAAAACGCACGTACGTTCTTTCAACTTCAATGCTGGATTCTTCGTATTTGTTTCATTTAATTTATAACCTCCTGTTCAGTACGGGATTGAAACGTGATATCTTATTGTAACAAATAATATAATATAAAAATAATTATGTTGGAATATGAAACAATTTGCTTCAAAAGTTCTATAAACGTAAATAAAATCACGACCTATATCTCCAGACTGTAACTTTATTACTTCAATATTTCGTTATTACAGTTTCATCAGAAGCTATCGATATATTTCCTAGAAACTCAGTTTCTTAAATCTTTATTGGTGTAGTAAACAATATTAGTAACAATAATATTTTAGTGTAGCAAACAATAAAGTTTAGCATTATTACTATAGAAATAACGTACAATATGCTTAAACACTGAATTAAGATTAAACTGGATTAATGAACTTGTAGGATATCGATAGCTCCTGACGAAGCTGTAATAGCGAAATATTGAACCAATAAAGTTACATTATGGAGATACAGGTCGTGATTTTATTTACATTTATAGAAGTGTCTCATAATAAACTCCAGTTTGCGTTAAACAAAGTTAAGAATAACAATTGAATTAAACAATGATCTTTATTAGTGTTATAAACAATATACTTTAAAATGAATCCACAAACAACACCAATAAAGATTATTGTTTAAGAATACCGTTTGTGGATTCATTTTAAATATATTGTTTATAACACCAATAAAGATCATTAAGAATACCGTTTGTGGATTCATTTTAAAGTATATTGTTTATAACACCAATAAAGATCATTGTTTAAGAATACCGTTTGTGGATTCATTTTAAAGTATATTGTTTACAACACCAATAAAGATCATTAAGAATACCGTTTGTGGATTCATTTTAAAGTATATTGTTTACAACACCAATAAAGATCATTAAGAATACCGTAAACAATATACTTTAAAATGAATCCACAAACGGTATTCTTAATGATCTTTATTGGTGTTATAAACAATATACTTTAAAATGAATCCACACACGGGATTCTTAATGAGCTTTATTGGTGTTG